ATTCTTTCCTTCCCATTCCTTCTCGTTCTTTCCTTCCCATTCCTTCTCATTCCTTTCCTTCTTTCCCATTCCTTCCCTTCCGATTCCTTCCCTTCCTTTCCATTCCTTCCCTTTCTTTTCTCCTTCTTCCTTCCCGTCTTTCCTCATTTTTTCCTTCCTTGCTCTCTTCCCACCGTCGCCCCTTTTTGCTTTCTCTTTCCTCTTCCCCTTTCTCCTTTTCCTTGTCCCTTTTTGCACGCTCAGATGCAAAAGGGGAAAAACATTTCTCTCTCTCTTTGGTTTGTTTCTTTTGTAGTTTGTTTTGCTAGCCCTCCGTCAGCCAAAATAATAATACTAATAATAATAATAATAATAATAATAATAATAATAGTAATAATAATAATAGTAATAATAGTAATAATAGTAATAATAGTAATAATAATGATGGAGGCACCGTGGATCAATCCTTTGGCATTTCCAGCCTGGCTCCATGGGGCAGAACTTAAGCACCCCACGGGATGGATGCCTTGAGTTTGACACTAATATCCTTCCATCCCTTCTAAGGTTCCCTGCGTTGCAGAACAAACCAGGGAGGGTGGGGGGGAAACTGGGGGAAGAGAGGTGAAAATTACACGCTTCACTGCCAGCTTATCAAATTAAAAGCCTCGTTGCAGGGAAATTTTGAAATTTTGGCAGCCGAGCACTGATGGGAGGCTGAGACGGGGTGGGGGGTGGGAAAAAAAAATACTTTACTCAACAAAACTTGAAGTGACAACCTTGGGATTCCTGGCAGGGTGGTCTGGTTCCCCGTTCTGCCTTTTGGCACGCTCACTCCCCGACACACTCTCCCGCACACAACTGCAGCGAGTTAGCTGGCAAGCGTGGGGAGATTAAACCCCAATTAAATAAAGCCACCCTCGTTTTCCTACTCTTAAGAAGGTTCCCCCCCCCCCCAAAAAAGACCCACTTGTATGGAATGGTATAGGTTTTCCTGCTGGGGGGGGGAGGGGGCTGGACTAGATGACCTCCAAAGGTCCCTACCAACTCTGTTTATTCTGTTCTGCCCTTCTCACGTTTCCAATTCTCTTCCTTTCCTTGTGGCACAGCCTCTCTTCGTTTCCCAACCCACTTGGTTTTGTGCGAACCTCGGGGTGTGTCCCCTCACCTGGGGGTTGGTTGCCGATTTGCTTCCGGGCGCAATTCAAGGCGCTGGTTGTCACCTTTAAAGCCCTCCATGGCTTGGGACCAGGCTATCTAAGGGACCTTCTCTTGCTACCCAGCCCAACCAGCTCTGTCCTCACAATCAGAAGGCTGTGAGTTCCATCCTAGGTAGAGGCGGATATTTCTTTCTCTGGGCACACTGAGTATATATCTGCCGAACAAAAACTCAGCCCTGGCAACAGGAAGAGCATCCGGCCAGTAAACACTCTGCTAGCTCCATTCAGTTACCGAGACTCCACCCCGCAAGGGATTATGGGCTCGTTAAAAGAAGGTGGTTATTTTATTTCTTTTATATTGTCTTTTTATTTCCTCTAAGCCACTTTGAGCGAGCAGGCAGCAATCTAAATTGTCCAAATAAATAAATAAATAAATCTAAACCACCCTAACAAGGTTGGGGAATGACCGGCGCTGAACTCCAACGCCTTCGCTAGAGTCGCCCCTCTTAAAAAGTGACAACACCCCCGCTGTTGTTCCCCTGCCAATCAAGCCAGGATCAAACCGCCTCTCTTCCACCCAGACGTTGTGGGTGGATAATTCAAACCCCCGTTAAGATTCTCCCCACCTGCTTCCCCAGGTAATGATCCACCCGGTAAATCTCCTCTTCGCGGAAGACGGCGGCGAGCTCTTCTGCCAGCTGTTGCGCCGAGAGCAAATTGTGGCCGAACGGTTTCTCCAGCACCACGCGCAGCCAGGCACCCGAAGGCGGCCTGCAGCTGCTGTTAATGTGCCGGGCAATTTCGGCGTAGGCGAACGGCGGCACGGACAGGTAAAAGATGCGCCCGGTTTCCACCAGTTCCTCCTGAGCCAGGCTGGTTTGAATACCCTGGTTGAGACGGGCGTAGTCGTCTTCCCCTTTGAGCTGGTGGTACTCCGTCAATTTCAAGAACTGGTCCTTTAACACCGCGCATCTGTTGGGAGGCACCTCCGGGGAGCAGGCCAGGTTTCTCAAGGGATCAAACATCTGCTTCCGCCCCACCTCGGGCTCCTTCTGAGCGGCCCCATAGAAAGTAAACGTGTGCCCGTTCGTCGCTTCGTCGACGTAAAGCTGGAACAAGCTTTGCCACAGGTATTTTTTGGCCAAATCCCCCGTGGCACCCAGGAGGACGACAGAAATGTGGCCCCGGGATTCCCTGCCGTCGACGGGGAACACCGCCCACAGAAAAATGACAGCGAGGGTCTCTTTAAAAAGCATCTTGCCAGCGGGGCGTCCAAGCTGGAAAGAAAGGGAGGAATGGGAACGTGAGAACTTTTGTCAGGAAAGAAAAGGAAAAAAATAAAATAGAATTTGCGCCTTTGGCCCGGAAGGCTGAGGACTGTTTCAATATCAACTTTGTACCCCCAGGTGAGGCAACTCTACGATTTCACATCGCTGGCTCAGAGTGACGGTGTTTTTGAGTAAAGAGCACTTGTGGTAAGCGTGTTTCGTAGGTGAACAGTTTATTGGTGCAAAAAAAAAGATGCCCGTTGCACTCGCAAACTCTTTTAGGAAGGGACAAAGCAGGATTATCACTGCTTCGCTGCTTATAATAATTCCCTTTCATCCTTTTTAATTTTTTTTTAAATTTAAATTTGCATCCAGGTTGCCACAACGGAGTTCAAAATTTCTGCTGCTAAACACGGCAGTTAGGGTTAGTTTTTGCCCCATTTTAAAAACCTTGCCACAATTGTTCAGTAAATCATCGCAGCCGTTGACTTAGTGACCTGGTTTTTAAGTGAATCTGGCTCCCCCATTGACTGGCCTGGTCAGTAGGCCGCTAAATGGGATCACCTTACCCTGGGACACTGCAACTGTCATAAGTACATGCCTGTTGCCAAGCCTCTGAATTTTGATCACGTGACCGTGGGAATGCTGTGACCTGTCAGGATTCCGGCGGTTACCCCCACTTAAATCATGAGTCTGGAGCCAAACTTCCAAATCTTCAAAATTATTCAAAAAAAAATATCGGGAGTTAACATGTCTGGCACTCCCTGGGTGCAGCCGACTCTGAGACACACAATTCATTGTCCCCCTTGACCCTGGTTTTCTACCACCCCTCTGGGTGTATTGTAATCCATATCCTCCAATGGGACACATCCATAGCCCAGAGTCATCAATCATGTTCTCCAGTTAGATTTTAGCACGGCAGAAACTTCAGTCACCTAGTTACTATCTTTGAAAACATTTATGGAATGCAGTTTTGGTTTGCAAGCTGCCGCACTGCTCCCCCCTCCCTTTCTGTTGGCAACTCTAAAAAGGCCAGAGAAATATTTTATGAGTTGACATGATGGTTGTTAAGTGTAAAAGGGTCCTAAATCCCTTTTTCCCGTGTTGTAACTTCGAATGGTCACTAAACTGCCTACACAGTACAGGTAGACAATGGCATAGATGCAAAAAGGCAGCATCGTATCTTACCAGCTAAGGTCCAAAGTGAGTTTATTGCCTATCCGGGACCACCCGGATGGCACCACCTCCACTGAGGCTCAATCACATATCTCTCCTTTCCTGTAATTGTATATTATATGTACTTTGAATTTACATAAAAGGTCAGGTTTATCAGCCTTACAGAAAAAACTGGCAATTTATACTTCCTGGTTTGACAACTTGGTTTTTACACAGCGAGGAGAAAACGCTTTCAACGCTCCAACCGTTAGTCAAACAAAAAAAAAATCCTGTGTAGATTAAAAAATAAATCGGCATTTCCTGGTGTAGAGGTGGCCCTCTCGGAAGGCCAAGTAAAGAAGTAGATGAAGTAGCGATTAAGAGAGTCCAGTCACACCTTCACTGGTCTAGGATGGGTTTTCACACAACATCAGTAAGAAACTCACTGGCTACTCGTGGAAAATAAAGGTAAAAGTTCCCCTCGCACGTACGTGCTAGTCGTTTCTGGCTCCAGGGTTGGGCACCAATTTTGCCATTACAGGATTTAAAAACTGCCTTTTACGCTGAAGGTTGACAGTGACTGGGTTGCCAAGCAAGCAAGCAAGCAAGCAGGCAGCCTGTTTTGGCACAAGACCCGGCATCACCACAACTCCCAATCCCACAATATTGGAGAAGGAGGTTGGCTTAGCCCACGCAGCAGACTGCAGTCTCTACGCCTTCCAACCCACCCCAGTTTGCGAGAGTCGGCTCAGCTGCCCTGAAGCATCTCTGCCTGGAACCAGAAGGTGGTTTTGGAAGTCTGGGGGGAAAAAAATCCAGTGGCGTTTTTTGCTGAAAGTGGAATTTTGCCCCCATCCCCGTTTCCAGCTGAGTAGAAAAACCAGTTTATTCGGTCTTGCCCAGATCCTCAACCATCATCCTGGAGATACTTGTTTTTTTCTGCTGATGTGCAAATAATAAATCCAGCTAGATATGCCAGAGGATGGCTGGGTTAATTGCTGACATATTAAATAGAACACACAAGGTTTCTGATAGAAACCAGAATACACACACACGAAATTTCCTCTTCTTCCTTCCTTCCTTCCTTCTTTCCTTTCCTTCCTCCCTCCTCCTCCTCCTCTTCCTCCTCCTCTTCTTCTTATATTATTATTGGTATATTATTACTATTATTATTATTGGTATATATTTTTTATTCATAAACATTTTGAATACGTATAGTGTATTGTCAGGGCATGTCATTTACAGAAAAGCAAAGAACAAAAGGAAACATTCATATATATATAGTATATCAATATACTATTGATATATGTATCAATAGTAACAGTGTCACAGAATAATTTTAACTAGATTCCTCTTTACATGAGCTTCTTTGTAGTTCTGGGGGTTATACTGACATATTTATCATCATAAACCCTCTTTATATTTAGTTCATACATAGCAATCATCTTTCTTCATCTAATTTCTACCTCTTATCTCTATTATTATTATTATTATTTGGAGAGGTTGGAATTCCTAGATTTGGACAAGGAATTAATTAATTTTTTTAAAAAAACAAATTTAGTGTCAAGGTGGAGGTTGCATGTACGAAAGATAAGGAACAGGTGCGGGGAGGCAGATCGTGGATTGTCCAGGCTTCCTCCAATCCGGGGGTGGTGGTGGCAGATCTGGGTGCAAACCCGGAAGAAAAGGGGGGCACCCAACAACATCCCCCCCCCAAAATCAATGCTATCCCTTCCACCCTTCCTCCTTTCCCCTTTTTAAAATCCCTGGCAGAGGCGCCTACAAGCCGATCTGCTGGCTGGGAAGGCGGAAGTAGGCTTGCGAGGGGCTTTTGGATGGGATCCCGCGCAAAGGTGGCTGCGTCCCTTTTTTTTTTTTTCTTTTCCCAGTGGGCACCTTTTGCAAAAGCGCGCAAGGGGCATTGCATGCTCAGCTTCTATTTTTGCAATAGGAAAAGGTGGGGAAAAAAGCCGCCCCACCCTCCACTCTTGGGGAGCTCATCCCCCCCCTTCTCCCCCCACCCCACCTGCATTTTTGCTCTCGGCCCACGCAGGAAAAAAAGGACCCACTCACCTCCCTCCCACGGGCGACGTTGGAGAAGCCCAAAGGCGGAATCCTGGGAAACGGGGAGACGGCGCCAACGCGGAGATTTCTCCCTCGCCTTCTCTTGCCCGGGCAGCTCCGCCTCTTCTTCCCAATGGCAAGAAGGAGGGAGGGGGAAAAAAAAGCTTGTGGTTCGCGTCGAGCCGGAGCGGCAGAATGTGAAGCGGGCGGGGGAAGCGAATCTTTCTGGTTCCTCTTTTATTCTTATTTTCATCCCATTTCCTCGTTGTATTTACTCAGCGGCAACCAAGTATAAACTTGGGGCCCAACATGAAAATATCCTCGTAACGAGAGCGTTTCTGGAGCAGCGGTCCCGTTACCCTGCTTCCCAACCAGAAGCAGGTATGGAGTTCCAAGGCCCATCATCCACCAACACATGCGGCAGGGGATTATGGGGAATCCAATCCCGGGAGGATCTGAGGGACTTGGGGTTGGGGAAAGTACTTTCCAATTGGACGGAGCGCCTTCCAGTTGGTGGGAAAGGCCCTTAACTAAGTTTTCAACCAACTAAATTTTATTTATTAAATCAAATATTATGCACGTTCTTGATATTTGCCTTCTGATGCTAATTTCTCCAAGAAGCATTTAACTGGCATAACTAGCTGCGTTCACTTTTGCTACTTATACAACCCCACCTCATTGTGGTCTAGTGCATTGTTAAGTACAGTCCTGTGGGCGTCAAACCATCATTTCGGGGGCCAGGCACATACTCCAAACCAAGCTAGACCCTGGAGCTTAACCCTACAGGGAATATAAGTGGACCACGCTTATTCCCAGGCCTACCTTTAAGGAACGTTGTGTGAACAAACGCCAAATGGAGCGGGTTCAGGTTAATTTCTTCCTTTATTTAAGGGTGGGGAAAAGGGTTTCCCTTGCAAGACAAGCTAGGCTTCAGCGCAAACCGGGATTGATTTTAACCAGCTTTCACTGAACAAGCCACAATGCACTGGCTTTCCTTAAGAAGTTATGCCTTAAACCGTGCCTGGCTGGCCAGCTTTGCGCAGGGTATTAAACCCTCCCAATTACATCATGGTTTGTGGTCAACCTTGCATCCTTAGCCCTGGATTTCTCTCCGTTTCTTCTCAGGAGCCGTTCGACCTCCAAAACTTCTTCAAGCAATGAGATGGTGGGTTTGCATTTGCAAAGCCTCTCTCTCCCCCCCCACCCCCCCACCAACCCAGCCTGCAGGAGACTGCAGTGAACTGCGCAGCCAGCTAACATGCCCAGAACTGCATTCTCTGCAGCTCAGAAATGCTGCAGTTTCAGCAGGATGGTTAAAAAAAACAAAAAAAAAAAACAATAGTAACAACGAATTAAATATGGCAAGTTTCCCTGCCCTTCCCACCTCCTTCAATGTCTTAGATGCGGGGGGCTAAGGCACCACAAAACACACTTTTGTGGCGCGGGAGTTGGAAATCACAACCGTAGACCTCTCGCACCGGTGTCGGACGAGGACAGCTGCCTGCCCCAGGAAAGGTCCATGGAAAGGACGCGATAGGCGGGCAACAGTGCCAGGTCCAGTCTGAAGATCTGGTTCATTATGAGATTAGCCACCTGATCTAGGGAAAAGAAGGGCAAAAGAAGTGACGCGATGACAGCGTTCCAATATTTAAGATGTAAGAGCAGCAGGGGCTCAACTTATGTGGGGGGTTGGACTAGATGACCTACAAGGTCTCTTCCAACTCTGTTTATCTATCTGTCTGTCTGTCTGTCTATTTATCTATCTATCT